ATTTATTTCCTTTGTAGCGTAATGATTTGAGCGTAAAAGGGAAGAGCAAGTATACCAGTTGTGATGCGGTCAGTGAGTTAAGGACGGTAATTTTCCCTAACAACGTGAGCCTGCAATATTTCCAGCAACTCAAAAGCTTCCTAATGTTTTCAGTTTTTTCGTTGTAATTCAACATCAAAGCCATGTCCGGATCAGTTGACAGCCACAGACCAAGTGCTTGACTTTATATTTTGGCCATTTAAACTTCTTTCCTGAAACAAGGATTTGTTCATGTGCTGTCTTAGACGTGCTTAGAACCGATCCAAAGAGCTTCCGTTGTGCTATCGTTTAACTTGAGGCCGGAGATCTTACAAAAATCATCTAAACTTTGTATTGCTGATATAAGGGATTTCTCTCAACCGTCTAAGACAAGAGTGGTATCATCAGCGTGTTGGCTTATCTTAACTTCGTCATTACCCAGAGAAAAACCTGTTATGCCCTTGTTGTTTCGGACGGTCTTGGCCAAGATCTCCACAGCAAGAATAAACAAATATGGGGAAAGGGGACAGGCTTGCCTAACTCCCCTTTGAGTCAGTAAGAAATTGCTTGAATGACCTCATTCAACCATTGCTGAGTACACAGCTTTCGCATTTTTGATTAAGGACAGCCATTATCCTCATCAGATGAAACTTTTAATTACTTATTATTTTAATTACTTATTATTTGTTCGTTACATTCTTGGCTTACGCAATGTAAATTCCGAAGTAGGCTAAACTGATAAACAATTAGGTAATACACAATAACTTCATCGCTCAATTTATTGTGATTTACCACGGCCACCGACTTTAGATGTTTGCTGCATCATATCAACTTCTTATAACTCTTAAAATTTCTCCGCATGGGTGGTTTGGACATCAAAAGAGGAAGCAGGGTTTGACTTTGAAGGGTGCAAATTACATAAAACATACATAACTTACATAGGGCGGAAAACAGTATAGTACTCTGCAAAGGGAGGTATTGGTTTAGTTACAATAAAGGTGTGAACATTAACTTATACGAATATTACAACGTAACATTTCCCAGGTTCGCATTCAAAAGATAAATAAAACTTTACAGCGATTTAACAACTGTGAGTTACGAATCTCTTGGGAATCTCAAATAAGATCTGGTGAGAGTAAGCACACTATATTGATATTCTTTGCATAAAATTATACGGTTCTCATCATCGATCATATGGTGTTCTCTTACTATTACGTCCATCCACGGTACATAGCCACATACTAGTATCTAACGTTTCCTTAACTTATCGTACTTTCTTTTTTCATCGTAAAGCACCTGTAAGGAATGGTGAAATATGGGAAGAACCATTAGAAAAGCGAAACTATTTACGACTTTGACTATTTTGCTAAACATGTCACAAAAATGGCTGTTGTCATTTTTGACATCCTTCTTTGAGTTCGCATGCTGGATAATAGCATGCATGACAAAGAACTCGAGCTCATTCAATCCAGGATCTTTGATTTTTTCGTCATTTTCTTCCAGTGAAAGTCTTGATCGTTTCGCTTTCACGGTATGCCTGTATTTTTGACCTCGCTTTCTGGGTGTTCTACATCTTTTGTCCCGAGGAAGCCTTTGGTTTCCCCCACATTGTTTGCCTTGGCACCATCCACAACAACTGCATGCGCTCATACAGGTACCGTATTCGTTGATGCACTTGCACCTGCCTTTGTACTTCCTTGACGCTTTTGCTTTTGATTTGTATTTATTTTTTTCTCCGCATCGACATGGTTTTCTTGGAGTTGAGATTGGCGCTTTCTCCGTGGAAAGTGTGGACTGACTCTCGAGAGCATCGAGATTGCTGTTTGTTTCAGAAGTGAATTGCTCCTGCTGATCACGTTGGGATATAATTAGCGCATCATAGTGTCCTGGACCACTTGCATTATACGCCAGGTAGACGACGTTTGAGGCTGGCACCATCCCTTCTGGAGAAATCATCACAAACGGAGTCAAAAAACTTGGATTTAAGACAAATAAAGGTATTTGAATAACGTTTGCGATTGCTAGAGGTATAAGATCTCCTAGCGGACCTGAGAACGTTCCTGATTGGATAAAACGATCTGCCTCCGAAAAAAAGTTTACATCACTGGGCAGAAATGACTGATAAAAATCTATTCGTTCTCCCTTCAATTCTTGGACGACTTTACTCCTGAGAATGCTACCAATATCGTTGATGGATGTAGATGTGTCTATTCCCATCTGTTCCGCAAGGTGCGACATTAACAATGATTCATTATGTGCATTCAAGCTCATCATTTGGTGCAATTGCATTGCTACTGCCGTAAAAAGGCAATTGCCGTCACCCGTTACCTCAACAATGTCAAATCCCCAAGTCGAGGCTAGTTCAGTAAGCCTTTTTCTGTCACTTTTTGTTTTTTCTCCAGCTACTGTTTCATTTTCCATTAATGCCTTTGTTTTTAACGGTCTAACATAAGTGACTATCTTCTTGAAATTGAATAGTTTTGGCCCCGTCTTTTCCTCAACGATCTTGCTCATTTTCCACCACTGTAAAGCGTTTCTAAGAATGACAAAGTTTTCGACATCCGCCTTTAAACTGTTCTCCACGTTTTCACCATCACTACACGTAGAACTCTCGTCATTGCTATCGATTAATGATGTAAGACGAGTTTGTATGTGAGAAATATTCTCTATAGATATTGTTTTCAAATTTATTTTTTTATCCTCTGTAGCATTTGTCATCACATGGAAATTTATTTCGTGAACTTTGTTATTGGTTTCGTCAAGGGCTCTGCTCGATTGCGGTACTCCTGTTAACAGAATCTTCTTTCTACTGTTTATGAGCATGTCACCTATAGATGGTAAGTTTGCATCGCGTTTCCTGTTTGAGTTAAAAAGGGTCCTTTCAACGCGAGTTCTTGCAAGATCTACTCCAATTCGGTTTGTTACTGTTGTTTTCTTCAGTTCTCTGTGAAGCCGTTCGTTTCGTGTTGTCCCACAACCTGGGGGGATATGTGACAAGCATCCTTTTGTAACGTGACATTCTATATTTTTTAGTTCTTTTTCAACGCTTTTGCTGATAACACGAGCGCCACTTGAATTCTTATACGAAACCCATTTTGTGATAAAGTTGTTTAGGTTGCGCAAAATCTCTTCAGGAGCCGGAGTTGGAAGTTTTCTTTCGATGGTTTGATCTCTCTGATCCCTGAAGAGGTCACTCATTAGAAACGTTTGGAGACGTTTCTATACTCTTGCAAAACTGTGGAAAAAACATTAAGAAACATACCGCACTTTGTTTAGGTTGAACTGCCCCTGCAAACCCTTTATACTGCACTCGTGGTGGCGCCACTTGCAGCAATTGTCTATGTATATTCCTGACAGTTTTACCCCTCGATTTTTGAAGTCTAACGAGAGAGCTTCAAAAAGAGGTTTTACCTCATCAAAACTCTCTGACATAGCGAACGACCACCTTATTACTTGTCCTTTCTCATTTATTATGCAAAAGAGTGATGTGTACTGCGTAATCCAGGCGCCGTCTTCTTTTCTTTCGAAGCCGATATTTGCAGCTGCCTTGAAGGTGTGGTCACAGCTAATCCATTTAGCATTTAACGAATTCATTGCCTCTGTAAAAAGGTGTTTTTTCTCATTAAAAGATGCAACGTAAACGCTTCTTATCAAGTTGTCACCTGGGCAGGGAAAAAGGTTCCCAGCAACGTCAAAATTTAACTCCTCAGCTGACTGTGTGAACCCCAATTCTTTCGCTTGGTGCGCGTCATTTAGAAATCGGAGCAACCTGTTTCTTAATGTTCTTTTGTACCTTTCTTTTATGAGCTCTTCAACAGCCGATATTGCTAATCCTCTATCTAATAAATCTTCAATTTCATCTGCCAATCGCATAGTCATACCAGATCGGTGTGTGAGAACAAATGGCACGCACGAAAAATCCTCTGAGGTGTCGTGGAAATAGCTTGCGGGTATATCATGACCATGCTCACATTTATATACTTTGCTAACAAGCAACACTGGACTTTCAACGTCGAACAACATTCGGGGATTTGATCTGTCTTTTCTTGCATTATTCCATTCATTGAAGCTTCCCCTTGATAGCAAAGAACATCTTCCATCTTCAGCGCACAAATGACAATACAATTTTCTTTTTTTGGCCCGAAAAGCCGGATGTTGTCCAAGAGGATCGAAAAGGGTATAGGGAAGTAGAAAGTAAGGATCTGCGTCTTGTCTCCAATCGGGTCCTGTAATCGGCGGTGGTGATGGTGTGACGACAGAAGGAAAGGCCACCATTTCTTCATTCATTGATATATCGTTTTCATATTCCACTGTTGCTTTCATCAATATCTCTCTCTGCTTTTCTGTCACCTCAAATCCAGTCACAAACGTCACAAATAGCACAAGAATGTTAGTAGAAATTATTAACATTGAGATGTGCATGTTTGATTTGTGTTCCGTCTTTCTTACTTGATCGTCCTGTCCTATCCACGGTGTGATGCTATGGGGAAAATCTTACATATGGAACTCGGGTTCAAAAGCGCTAGCGTCAGTGTCCGATCACCAAAAGAAGGTGTGAAGGTATGAAAGTGAAAGACATTTATCTTATCTCAATCTTCAAGTGCGACATCCGTCCAAAAGGTACGCAAAAACTGGCGACAAAAAAACGTGCAACTTGTTTTGCAACATTGGTGCAAAACGAGTAGAACGATGTTGCGCGTTTTACCACCCACGTTTAAGCCTGTTAACAAGCTGATTTGTTGCAAGACAGGTTTGATGTGGGTGGCAAAACGCGCAACCTCGATCGCTATTCAACTCGTTTTGCAGCAATGTTGCAAAACAAGTTGCACGTTGTTTGTTGCCCGTTTTTACGTCCCTTGAGGAAAGCGAACACAACGCGCGTGGACCTAAATACAGTATGCGGCGTATTTGGGACAAAACTGAAATGTAGTTTACAGCAGTTTTAATCTGTGAAGTTCGTAGCTTTGGCGTCTCTCAATTTTGTGTGGATATTAATTCCTATTAATAGAAATCTAGACCCGTGAATGGACAGCCAGCGTGGGAGAAAGGCAACCGTAACCTTCCTTGCGGCGGGAAGGGCGTGTATACCGCATGACAGCCGCTAAGATAGAGAGTTACCCTCTCCAGAAATTTGCGATTAGCATTTAGTTCTACAAGCCAATAGCGAGACAACGAGTCTTTTCAGCGGTGTTACAATTTGCCTTCTCACCCACCCACTCCATAGGCAGTTATGATTTCCTTGATTTGTATCTTGTAAGTTGATTTATGGGCCTAGTTTTTTAACCATGTATAAATAGTTAGTTTTTCCATGTTATGTAAATAAGTAATTATATGCTACAATAAACTGCCTGAACCCAACCATGTTGCAAGTCTGTTCAGTGGGGTTTAGGAGGTAAGGCATGATTTCCTAATGTGGCATGGACAAAGTCACAGCCCTCTCAAATCAATTTTCGCGATTCATGAAACTTGGCTCACATACATCAGTGCCTGACCACCCGAGAAAAGGGGTGAAAGTCGCCGATCTCAACTCTCTTGACCTTTAGACATGGTATACAACAACCACTCGGGTCGTGGTATATTTAGTTGTTTTTTTTTAATTCTCATCAATAACCTGCTTTACATACTGGGTTGTAAAATACATTTGAACTGTCGTTATCAAGTGTGTCAGACAGTTTCACACATGCCACACATTACTAATTCAGCAGGAATACCGCCAACATTCAACTGTAAAAGATAAGATATAACCAGGAGTGCTAGATAGTCCCGACATGTTTTGTTTTACTTTCCTTTTTCCGTAAGTGGCGGTCCTTTCCGAGTGAGTTGTGATTTTCTTCCAGTTTTTCTTTGACGACTTAACAAATTCAAAAACTTCTGACGGTAAAGGCATCAGAAATAATATTTCAGGCCGGGGGGGAGTACTCCCTTATATGAGCTACATAGGTTTGTGCCGCCCCATCGGGTAGGGTTTTTGCACCTTTTTGGTCTAAAAACGGTTATAGATTTTGCTCATTTTGGTCCGGAATCGGGAGTGTATGAATGTATTTATCGTTTCAATTCCAAATGATTAAGAAAGAACGAAAAACATACGAATCCTGAATTGATTTGAAGAATTTTTTTGTTTGCACCTTAATCTAAGTAATAATGACATAATTTAAAGGCCAGGTCTGAAAACGGGTATGGATTTTAGAGGTCTGGTCTGAAAACGTGTGTGGAACATGACATTTTTTTTTTTCTGAAATAGGGTCATGATTTCAAAAACCGGGCTGCACACTCCCACCAAGAATTCCCAGGAGTACCCACCCCGGGATTTCAGGGTTCACCGCCCGGGCTAAGAACTGTGCAGATTGTAACATTTTTGAACGACTGTACATGTTTGAGTGGTGTGTCAAAGACGATCACCACCTAATTAGCTTTACGGAAGGTTAACTTGTCTCAGACGGAAGTTGCAAGTAAAGATCGAGACGCGATAAATGTCTTTCGTTCACCTTCACACCTTTTTGGGTTGTGGAACACCGACACTTCGTGTCACACACAAATGGTATAAAACGGATGGGACTTTCTTGATGCCACAGTTAGTATTGGGTATTCGACACCAACTATATCCAAAATGTCTCAAGATTCTCAGTCAGCTGAAAATATCACAGAGGACCATGCTTCAACACAAATAAGGGTAAGTAATTCATAGACGCACTTTTTCTTCGATTAACAAGTCAAAACTCGGGCACCCATCGAGAATATAGTTCGAAACCTCTTAAACATGCATTGTTGAACGTAGTTTAGTATTTAAACGGTAGATATAGGCATATTTTTATCCCCTAAAAAATTTTCATCTGTTCGGATTTCCTAGCTGAATTAAAAGTCTAGTGATCCGAAAATTATAGGGATCAAAACTAACCTTTTCGAAAATTTCAGCCAGGAAAAAAGGCTCCCGAAAATTTTAGCTGACCTTTATAGGGTAAAGGTTCGTTAAAAATGGGCAATTATACCATTTTTAAGATGTTCGAAAATCCTTGGAGAGGCAGGCAAGCAAGAAATTTTACAACAAATGTTCAGAAAATTCTACATCTCAAATCGTCTTCCGAACAGACATTTTCCGAAAATTGACATTGGGAGCCCCTGGTCCAAATTTATTTTCTTTATTGGAGGTTACGTTTCCAAAACTTGATCCGTTCTGGTTGTTTGAAAAATTGCACAATGTTTCGCCACCCACACAATTTTGCCTTACAGCACTTGACTACTAGCTCGAAGTATTTTTTTAAATCGCGTGCCAATTGTTGTTCTTTGGTTGACAATTTCAATTTGTACTTTATTTGACAATAGATTTAGATTCTTCAGCCTTTCCTTGAAGTGCTCTGTCACCCCCTTTTTTTCACTTTGCACTGGGAAGGTTGTTGTCCAACTTTACAGAGAGGCCGTTTAAATACGTAGTAACCCGAGTATCAGTCCTTCCTTATGGGACGGGGGAAGGCAGCAAAAAAAAAAACTAGGACATACTGAAGTCTGACACTTAGGTACAGAATCTTCGATTCTTAAATTACTCGTTTAATCTTTTCTATTTTCTTCTGCATGCCTGTTATTCTGTTTAGACATCAAGAAACGGAATTACAGAAGCTGAAAATCGTGGTCTTGTCTATATGCATGGCAAAACACTGAGTCATACCGTCGCCAACTTCTTCACTAAAGTGGCTGCTTCGTTCTCGTCAGAAAAATACAGTGGCTTTGTATTCGAGATCTCCTTAGCAGACAAGAACGATGATAGGAAGTGGTAAGTTTCCTCAATCTCTTTTTATCATGAATATACATATTATTGGAAAAGCGGCTATCAATGTATCAATGTACGGATTTCCCCCAATTACTGTATTCAGGTGTATTATAGCTAATGTCTAAAACGATTACCAGAACACGCTTGAAACCAAATTTCACGAAAATCGTTCGCGCAGAAATCTGTTTGTCATAATACTCGTAATTGGCACGGAGTCTACTTTTGTTTTCATCTAATATAATCGGAGACAACAATTTTTTATCTACGTCCAGTTTTCAGTGAGTTTTGGTATTCCACCGTCCCAAGATAATGCCACAAACATCGAAGGTCATACTAAGCCAAATTACACCGACGAATCATGATTCGACAACTATTTCTCAATTGTACCAAACGATCGTCAATCGCCTATACACGTTTTCCAACGCTCAGTGCATGCCGATTACATAAACTTTAAATACACGGAGAACTTACTTTGGTTTTGGTTTCCTCACTTTCTGCTAAAAACCGCTCCATGACAGTAAGTCACGTACTTGCTGTTTAACGTGACAACACCATCTGCTTTCATTTCATTTTCTAGAGAACAGGACTTTCCCTATTCAATTTAAGTTGCGGGCTGTGTACTTATTATTGCTAATTAGGTGTCGCTGTTAGTTGGCCTTAACGTACCCGTTATCTTGGGTGTTGAATGAAAATTTAGATGAAGTTATATTGAAGAGATAGCTTCATTAGTCACCTTTGGTCTATTCTCATGTGTCTGATGTTACCATTAATTCTTAACAATTTCTCTGTAAATTTGGCCATAACAGGGAAGTGGCATTCACTATGGCACAGTTGAATGACAGCAATGTAATAAAAAATATCCTACAAGATCATTGTGACGAGATGATCTGGTATCGAGTCCCAAGGGATGCTCCGGGGAGTGTAGACCTCGCTACGTATATGTTCCAACAAACGAGAATATACAATGCCTCTGAAGAAAGAGTGTCCAAGAAGGTCGCCTTGCAGGTATCAGGTCTCGAATTTTTCAATATTACTAGATTACCTTATTTCAAATATAGCATATACATAAAAGTACTTGGAACACAGGATACGGCCGAATATTGAATCATCTCATAAGTTTCCTGAACTCTTAATGCGGACAGATAATTGTGCGGTGATATCTCACCTCAAGTCTCACTAAAGCTGCAGACAACGTACTTTACTCCCGGTCAATATGTATTTGTAAAAAAGATTGAGTCACGTTATTTATTTCATTACTTGCTAATTTACATCTAAACGTTCATGAAGTCTTTCCCTCTTTTAGTATCCTGGTTGGCAAGCGGACGGTGTATTTGTTGTAAGTGACACCATCCAGATTAACACCAAAGAAGGGAGGCTGCTCGAAAATTTCGAGAAATATGTCCTATACCGTTCGACAAAGTCAGGAAAAGGTAAGATAATAGGTTGGCATAGTGTAAGTATATTAACAGTTATTTTACGTACCCCACCCATAGTAATTGCAAGTTACAAAGTTGGGGCTTCTGGAAATAATTCCCTAAGTTACATGTAGTTCTCTGCCACATATTTGGCGCTAGTTCAAAGCATGAGAGCTGCCCCAGTCTACCATACAATGCATTGCCGAATTGGACGTTTCAGTTATTTACTTTTTGTTTTACTTTTGATAGAAGCAAAGAAACGCAGACTTCCTCACTTTCTCCAGCCATTTTCTTCAGAAGCGCTGGCCAATTTAGTTGGTGCATTTAAACAGTTATTGGGTAATAATTATCCAGCAGCTTGCTTAGCGGTTGGCGGAGTTGCCATGGCCACCGGCCATGAAAGGATAACCTCAGCGTATGGTTCATGTCCCGTAATCATACTGAGTGGAGACACCGAGACAGGAAAAACTACCGTTTTGAGGTCTATGTTATCTTTAGTCGGGAACGACGGAGTCCTAAAAGGTAGGAGAATACAGTCGTAGCTCTCGTAAGCGACCACTCCGGGAGTCCAAAAAAATAGTCGCAACTAGAGCTGGTCGCTTACGAGAATGGGTTCTCCTAAACGACCAAAGCTATAAACAATAAAATGCGTAAAATGTTTGGGATTTCTAAATTCTCATTAATGGTATAGAAAAGAATGTTAGTGAATGCACCTACAAAAACTGGAAACTTATTTTCTCTCACCCACCTGTGCCAAAGTATCCTGACAAATAACTGAAACACTTTGAGTGGTCGCTTACGAGAGCTTAAAAATAATAGCAAAGTCCAGCTGGGTAATCGCGCTCAAAGGTGGTCACGGTTGCTTATGGGAACGGTCGTTTAAAAGAGCTCAATAAGAGAGTTGAGGTGAAAATTAAAATTGTGTTTCACATCGGTGGTTGTAATTAGAGCTGGTCCCCTACGAGAGTGGTCGCAGTGAGAGTTTCGACTGTAACTAAGTTGTTAAAGGGAGCTTTACTATTGAAAATTACGATGATAGCAATTATGCAGGGAAAAATGAATATACAGAATCAATGTGTTGACTACACATAACTGTCTTAGATTGGGATAACATTATTGTCTTTGGTAAGAGTCATAACAGACCACCAGCCTCAATTGGCCTAAAACATATCGTCAATTTTTTTGTTGTGTGACGTAATTAACTCTAATTAGTTTAAATACTTTTACACCGCTAATTTTATTTTCTTTCTTTTCTGTAAGATTATACTGGAAATAGCGCCCTGGAGCAGTGCAGATTGTCATGCTTGCCGTTCGGATGGGACGATCCGGCCACACCAAAAGACGTATCATTTATTGTGCAGGCAATCTTCCAAATGGTAATTATGCATTTCCAGAGTACTCAGGCGAGCTCGCACACGTTAATTTTCAGTAGTTCCCTATTGACGTTGAACTCATGATAACGTTTTACCCACCTTTTTTGTTTCTGCATTGCAAAAAAAATCCCTGTAAGTGACTGAATTTTCCAAGGAAAAATCGGCGGGTTAAATCGTTGATCGGTACATTTTGGGCATATCGCTAACAATGATATAGACTCAGTGAAAAATTATTATATTTGCAGAATGGAAGAGAAACTTATATTTCTAAAGGAAAACCTCGAGGAGTTCCTATAATCTCAGCCAACTTTGCCTGTGAAAACCACAAAAGGTGAGGGGAAACTACGTAGAATACAGGGCCTGGACAGACCACAGTTCTATGATTTTAGCACGGTTTTAAAATAAAATCGTAAAGTTCCCACGACGTAGCCCATTTACAACCTTGAGAACAGTCTTTTTTAATTTTAATCCTTTTGTTCATCGGAAATGCTGACAGCAAAATATAAAAGTTAACAAAGCAACTCAGATTATGGAAGAAAACAACACTGTTGCCCTGACAACCAACTTTAACTATTACAATTTAAGTTTGTTATATCCGTAACGGAAACTTGTTTTCGAAATCTGTTAACACCAGACATCTTCTGTAATTTCTAACTCTCATGCCAGTTGTGGAGGTATATACAGTTTTCGGAATGCCTTTTCAAACACGTTAAAAGATATGTAGTTCATCCGTGTCCATCCAAATTCGATACAAATGATGATTGTACTATGAAAAATGAATATTCAGTTATAGTGTATAATGCGTTTTGTTTTGTTAGGATATTCTCTCGAGAAGGTATCATCGTGTTTCAAACCCCAAGCCCTCAGCTGGAACCGAAGGAAAGACGACGTTGTGAATCAGAGTTGAGGAAAGCAACGAAGGAAGGTTCCAAAGGTTTTTTGGAAGTACTGGGCTCGGTTGAGCGCTTCTTCTCCCAAGAGGGCCAAGAACTGTTAGATGATGAAATTTCGCCAAGGATCTGCAGTATCTTTGATGGTCTTCTCCGAAGCCAGGCTAATTACGAAAAATTGGCCTGGTTTACGTTTGATGTAAGTTTTTTCGCATGTTTTATAAATTTCTGTTTTCCTATGACTGGTCTCTAACACCTACAGCACCTTTAGTTGTGTTGTCTGCTTGTCAGTTTCCCGGTAAATTTCATTTCAGAATTTGATCGACATATTTGTTGTTCATTGTTATCGTTTTTCTATCGTTATCGCAAATTCCCTTTTCCTTTAAATCGAGCTGCAGTGATTTCTTTCAAAATGAACAATAATCCTTATAATGCACAGCATTCGTGAAAAGCGGGCACCTATTGATGATATAATAGAGTTCTTTAAGATTAATATCGTGATAGGATACATATATATTTGTTATTAGCATGAACTGTGTTTTTTAATAAAGAAAGTTATTCATCGTTTTTTTATTGTCATTTACCTTCACTGAAACAATGGCGTGTTTAATTAACTGTAAAGTGCTATCTTTCAGATGCTCCGAAGAGCGGGGCATGAAGAAGACATGGAATTGGTGTGGCAGTATGTAGAGGATACTGTTGCTCCTCTCATCAAGAGGATTTACGCAGAATCCTCCTCCGCAATGAAACTAACTCAAGGAGTGCACGAGATGAGTGGAAATGTGAACGTGTGGGAAACTTTAACTAAAAAGATGAGCACCTTCACACCCAGAGAGGTAAACACGCAATCATTTCAGTCTATTATAAACTAGCAATGCATACAACCACCGCTTAACAGTCATACCACCTGTCGTCTCTCCCGGCCACTAACGGACGCCTATCTAGTGGCCGGGACGATCAGTGCCAGCCGTTTAGATGCCAGGGCAATAGCAAAGATATTATCTAATGATATTAATCAGCCAAACAGAAACCTTTTGGTCTAGACCCTGTTGTTCGAAAAGTAAAAGTTTGTCGAGCACTGTCTGCGGAAATCCTTGTTTTAAAAATTGTTTTTTGTGAAAATTTAAAGCTACACATGTCAACATACGGAGTCGGAACTGATAGATGCGAAAATATCTCACTCAATTACGTTGTAAAAGTAAGTGGATTCAGTTGATATATTTCACACTCATTTTTGGAATTTAAGTCAGCAGAGGTAAGAAGTTATACGTCTGCATGGTCGCAACTTAAATAAAGGGAAAATTTGGAATTGTTAATTGTCTAAAAAAACACAAGTGCAGCAGGATCGGTAGAACAGTATTAGGTGCAACTATGCCTCATTAATTGGCTCTAGATACACTGTATGACAAAATAATCAAGTCCTGAAAAACACATAGCCGCCGTTGTAATCTTGTTTTTTAAACATCGTCATCAAAACTGTACTTTTTTTCTCTCGTAGGTGTCATACGTTTGCAGAAAAATAAAAATAAAAGGAGTGGATTGTATCTGTCTTTCCCTCAACTTTCTAAATGCGGCTCTGGGCAGTCCTAACGACAAAAGATGCATTCAACAAATGGAATCTGCCATTGGTAACCAGGTGCAGCTGACGCCATACAAAACCCGTCAAAGGTTTTTGAGTCCAGAATCCGACGAAGATCATTTTAAGGTAACATGTTTATTGATAACCATCAAAAGAGAATATCTCTCTTGTAAGTGGAATGGTTGGGAAACCCTTTGTTATAGGTTTTTGTTGGCTTTTTTGGACCTGACCGTGCACAACGTTCAATAGCATTCCTATCATTTGGAAGTTTTTGACCAATAGAAACATTGCATGAATTTCTTCATTGATAATTTGTGAAAAGAAAACAAAGGATTGTGCACGGTCAGGGTGCTTCCAACATAACCCACAGCACCATTGTTTTCAACTTTGATGTTTGCCGGGTTTCCTAATCAGTCTCCTCTACTAACTATGATAAGAGTAAGTACACACTGACCAGTTTGTCCTAGCGTATCCTTCGCGGGTTACATATAGCCTCTCTTACGTGGCCTAAAGTGTATGGAATGGGGTGGTTTGACGAGCAGTATGCCTATTTCTGAGTGAATTGTGTTATCACTCTTTTCTTTACCTTTCTGGGTTTTTGTTCCCAACTAATACAACTGTTACAGCTATGAAAAATCAATAAGAATTCCCCTGGGAAGAACACAAGTTGACAGATAAACCGCGGTTAACCTCCGAGCTAACATATCACTCTTCACTGCTGTCCACATATTTCATCTGATACTCAGGATTGGAGGAATCTGTTTAAATATCTAGACAATTTTTCTACGGGACAGATCGTTAAAGTGGGTCCAAAGTAGGACGTACGGTTGTCAGTTAAGCTTCCAGTATTCTTGATAGTCGGTTCAGCTCAAGGGTGGAAATTCAAGTGACTAAAACACTGCAGCTCTATTTATTGTAGACGATATAGAGAATGTTCCCACAGACAAATACCGTCGTGTAGGCGAAAAGTAGGCGCTTTGCAACTGCACCGAACCCAAAAAATAAAAGAATGTGGAATTAACTACGGTTTCTTTGTTCTTGCAAAAATTTGAGAACTTGAAAAGTCCTGAAGAGTTGAATACAATACAAGATTCCGAACAAGATGCAACCTCGCTAGGTTGAAAATTTATGCCAAACTACAGTTCGAAATTCTAGTTTACTGAAGTTTGAGGAAATAAGGAAAGTTTGGCTTAGAAAGTAGAATTGAATATGAAGAGCCTTTTGGTCTTAAAAACTTGCTAACGCAGCAAGCTCTTAACGAGGGTTTTGAAACTATTCGTCATTCAATTTTAGGCTAAAAGGTGAGTTGGTCGTCAGCCTCCTTAATGAAATAGTTCGTTGAGGATAAAACATTATGGAGTACGTTGAAATGTTAGTAAAACGTAAATATCTACAAATCGATGATGAAACGCTAACTATTAGATCGATGTTGTTTGATCTTATTCATTTAAAATACTACTGAACCAAAACAACAATAAATGACAAATGGATAAATATCCCTAAAATTAAATCCCAGAATATTGTTCGACAATTTCCAATTTCACCCTGGCGATCATTTCCCTCATTAAAATAAATTTTCTAGAAACATGAGTAGAATTAAATAAAATGATATAATTGTAATAATTAAAGGGCTACGAATTCTACCTTATCAAATGACCCTCTATTGTCATCATCTGTCGATTTAATGACTGTTATCGACGCTGGGATATCGCATTTATAGGATATTGCACTTGAAAATGGAAAGATAAAGGAAACACAAAGAATACAACAACAACAACAACAAGTTTATTTAGTATTACTATTTTTTAACATGGTGTTACTGGTACACTGAAATACACTAATAATAAGACGAACATTGCGCGCAAAGGAGTTACAGATATAATAGAATGGGATAATTTTATGATTATTATTATCATTATGCTTCTTTCGTCTCTCAAATGCTAGAAAGACGAAGGTAGCAGTAAGCTTGCAGATGTACGAATCAGTATTAATATTAAAAAGAAAACAGTTTTTATCATTAGTATTTTAATTTCTAAATAACGTTTTTCGTCAATCATTTTAGTGAAAAGAGACTTTGTCAAATCATCATTTAAGGAACAATGAAATAATAGGTGCATTTTTTTTCAACAATTTAGACGGCAGTGATCACAAATTCTAAGGTCTTCGGGAGTTTTGCGAATTGTAAATCTTTCAGATTTGTGATTTCCTATCTTAAATTTGAAGGCGATGCGTTTATGTTCAGGATTCCTGATTTTCTAAATGAATTCAGAGTACTTTTTCTCGTTTGTATAGGTGGAGTAGAAGTTTAGTTTTTTTGTTTGCACTTATCAGATTGACTTGGTGGTTTTTAAAATGTACTGAAAAACTATAGGAAAGAAGAAGGGTTTTTTTAAAATTAACTGATTTGTTTTCACTATTTAATTGTTTACATAAAAGATTTATTTTGTATATCAAACATGATTTTTTTACTTGAGGGTAGACAGGGTATACCGGGCACACAGGGTATACAGTGTATACATGGGTATACAGGGAGTACATAAGTATACATGGAACGCAGGGTATACACGGGTATACAGGGTATACATCGATATACAGGGTATACAGGGTATACAGGGTATACATTGGTATACAGGGTATACAGGGTATACAGGGTATACCGGGTATACATTGGTATACAGGGTATACCGGGTATACATTGGTATACAGGGTATACAGGGTATACATGGATATACATGATATACAGGGTATACATGGGTATACAGGGTATACAGGGTATACAGGGAGTACATGGGTATACAGGGTATACAGGGTATACAAGGTGTACATGGGTATACAGGGTATACATGGGTATACAGGGTATACTGGGAGTACATGGGTATACAGGGTATACATGGGTATACAAGGTGTACATGGGTATACAGGGTATACATGGGTATACAGGGTATACTGGGAGTACATGGGTATACAGGGTATACATGGGTATACAAGGTATACAGGGAGTACATGGGTATACAGGGGTATACAGGGTATACAAGGTATACATGGGTATACCCCTGTATACAGGGAGTACATAAGTATACAGGGTATACAGGGTATACATGGGTATACAGGGTATACAGGGTATACAAGGTATACAAGGTATACAGGGTATACATGGGTATACAGGGTGAACATGGGTATACAGGGTATACATGGGTATACAGGGTATACATGAGTATACAGGGTATACAGGGTATACATGAGTATACAGGGTATACAGGGTATACATGGGTATACAGGGTATACAGGGTATACAAGGTATACAAGGTGTACAGGGTATACAGGGTATACATGGGTGTACAGGGTATACTGGGAGCACATGGGTATACAGGGTATACAGGGTATACAGGGTATACAAGGTATACATGAGTATACAGGGTATACATGGGTATACAGGGTATACATGGGTATACAGGGTATACTGGGAGTACATGGGTATACAAGGTATACAGGGTATACAAGGTATACATGAGTATACAGGGTATACAGGGTATACATGAGTATACAGGGTATACAGGGTATACATGAGTATACAGGGTATACAGGGTATACAAGGTATACAAGGTATATAGGGTATACAGGGTATACATGGGTATACAGGGTATACATGGGTATACAGGGTATACTGGGAGTACATGGGTATACAGGGTATACATGGGTATACAGGGTATACTGGGAGTACATGGGTATACAAGGTATACAGGGTATACAAGGTATACATGAGTATACAGGGTATACAGGGTATACATGAGTATACAGGGTATACAGGGTATACATGAGTATACAGGGTATACAGGGTATACAAGGTATACAAGGTATACAGGGTATACATGGGTATAGAGGGTATGCATGGGTATACAGGGTATACTGGGAGTACATGGGTATACAGGGTATACAGGGTATACAAGGTATACATGAGTATACAGGGTATACAGGGTATACAAGGTATACAAGGTATACATGGGTATACAGGGTGTACATGGGTATACAGGGTATACATTGGTATACAGGGTATACAGGGTATACATGAGTATACAGGATATACAGGGTATACATGAGTATACAGGGTATACAGGGTATACATGAGTATACAGGATATACATGAGTATACAGGGTATACAGGGTATACAAGGTATACAAGGTATACATGGGTATACAGGGTATACATGGGTATACAGGGTGTACATGGGTATACAGGGTATACAGGGAGATAATCTATTACTATTACATGAAGGATATATCCATTTGGCGTAAGCGTAACATGAAAGAATAACCCATGGAGCCCGCTTTAGCAAACTTTGATGAAAGTTTTGAAGATGGAGATGATTTCGATGATTCAAAGCTTCCATCTTCTGGCTATGAATATCTCAGGAGAGTTCAGTAAGTATAGACCTTTCAACATAAAATCTAAGGCCGCCGCCAATAAGCTGCCGGCCGCTCTGCTGAGCGAGAGAAGAACTTAGAACCCACAAATAAGCCTTATAAGCTTATGAATATGTTTTAATAGAATTATTTTTTTTATAAGCTTAACTTATATTCTTAATACTTCTATTTTGTCTGTATTTAATTTAGGACTTCACTGTTTTTATCAATTTAATTTAATTCATTTAGTCTTAGCTCATTTAATTTAATTATCTTTATTCAACTACAGATGTAGTTTAGCTCAGTTTATTTGTGTAACAGTAAATAGCTTGGTCTGATGCTCGGTGTAAGCTAGAAGCTTTGAAACTGATGACTGATGTAAGACAAAAGAAACAAATAGGTCAACACCATAGAACCTACCAAACCAAAATAAGTGCGAAACAAAGAAAAAGTTCACAGGTTCATATGCTGAAGTAAACCCGCTTGCTTAGTAGGAGATCCACATCAGCTTTAGCTACCTTTGTAACCCAGCAAACTATGTAAGTATGCATGCATGTAGACCGCAGGTTGAAAGTTGGCTGGACAGAAAGACAAGTCAACCTGTGTTGAAGCAAGTGCATGTGCTTGCCACTTAGATTGGGAAAATGTTTCAACTGTGCATGTTTGCCAATTTTATTTGGAAGAATGTCCTAGTAACTGTATTGTAATTATGAAATCTCTGTTTGAAGGGAGATGTTTGTAAACATGTGAAATCAATGCTATTAAAATTAATGTGTCTGGCATGTTTTTTCATCATAAGCAGAGTGTTGTTAATTAGTGAATGGTAAAAGTTTGTGAAATTCCTGTCACAAGCCCCTGGACTCTAGCGGCAGTGATGTTAGGACATGAGTCCCCCTATTTTCTTTGCTTCCTCCTAAACCATCCTCTGCCCCCAAAGTAGTTTTGGCACTCATCCAAGATGGCCACCTGTAATGTACAGTCATGTAAAGCACTCAATCTTAACAATCTCATGGAAAATAGGGACTGTGAACAGTCTGAGTTCAAATTCAAACACAATGGACCGAGAACAAAACTTTATTATTCCTGTAATAACAATAATATTAAATAATATTCTTCTTTAGAAGAAGCATTTGAGTTTTTAATGGAGCTTATTGATAGAGAAAACAAAACTTTACCATAATCGACTAGGAGAAACATAGTTGAACAAATTTACATTTGGAATGCCATGACTGCACTGTAGCTGTCTTTCCTGTGAAATGTCCCTTAGTGGCAAGGAGCAAGGAGAGACAGCTGTATTTGCAGGCTATTTAAAAAGTTGCACTGCATGTATTAAAAGCAATCTGTCTCCAATTACACATGATATTATATATGCAAATTTTACTTGCATGTTAGTGTTTGGGGATATTTTTATATCATTATTATTTAGCTTTGTCTGTTACTGTCTATTTGAGTTATACATGAAAAAGGATTGTGGGTGTCTTTTGGTCAAGATGTTGTACTTACTATAATTAAGGGTTTGGTCGACTTTCTAGAGCCAAACGCAAGCCCAAGTCAACCATGAGCCACAAGCCAAGCAGGATCGAGCCAATCTCAAGTCAAGCCCTAATGTTAATTTTTTCCCTCTTTTGGGTGGCTTGTGGTTGACTTTGGTTTGCGTTTGGCTCGTAAAATGACCCAACTCACTGTCAACTAATATTTAATCATTTATATTTTGCCAGTTTTGAAGCCATGCAGTGTCCTGATGTTGTTGTAGCCAATCTTGACACGCACAGTTTTCTAGGCAAGCAGACTGTTCATGTTAGTGAGGTAGTATAGTACTGTTTTTACCATAGTCTTTAGAACTTCTATTATAAATAGCTCATACATGTAGTAGACTCTGCTGAGGAGAAATCTTTTGAGAAACAACCACAGGCTTCCAACAGTGCTAGGACTTGGAACATCTTGATTCTGCTACTCAGCTCTACAATGTGCTGTAAGAAAAGGGGTGCTAGTCCCAGGGGGTACTCTATTGTAAAAGCCATATAGGTATGTGCCTCCCTGTTTCGGTCTGAAAACAGTATAAAATTTGTCCATATTTTTGGTCTGGAATTGGGTGTGGTTTTCAAGGGAACTGCAAGAATTATGTATAAAAATATTTGTCATTTCAATTTCTTATGTCGAATAAGAAAGAAAGAAAGAGTAATGTGCGAATTCAACTGCAACTCTACAACAACTAAAACCGATTATTGCAAAATTTACAGCAAGCAATATCCACTGGCCACAGTTAGCAGATTAGCTAGTCAAGGCGAGCAGTGGTTTATACACTATGTTATATATATGGAAATAGCTCACAACAGAGACTAGAGAAAAAGAGTAAAAAATGTTAAATAAATTAATAATAATAAATCCAATTCAATTAAGTTTACAGTCATAGATCAAAATAGATTTTGAGAAATTGTTCGGTTGGCATCATAATCTTAAAGTAATGGTGACATAATTCCTGCCTATGTGAACATGTATGTTGCATTTCATGCGTTTTATGACGTCCTCCAGGTCTGAAAACAGCCGGTATGGATTTTAGATGCCAGGTCTGAAAATGAGTTTGAAAAATGATGTTTTTTGGTCTGAGATAGTGTCTGGATTTGGAGAATTGGGTAACACCTGTCCCCCACTAAAACGGAAAAGAGCTGAAAGTTTATGTTAACCACAGTTTGGTAACCATCATCTGGGCTTGAAATAATTTCCAATTCCTGGCTGGTGTCAGTCAATTATGCAAGTTTTCTGGTACGCCTAGTTTTGCTTGCACACAACCCATTTTCGGCTAGATGTACATGTAATCCAATCATTACATTTGTTGTACTCGATTAAGCACCTAAGATGGCATGAAGACTCACAAAACCAGAGCCTACTTTAACTGTGAGCTCTTTTTAACAATAATTACAATCATGGCAAAAATTTCAATGCATTCATTCAACTTCTTTGATGTTATATGACCCTCTTTCCCCCACTTTGGATCAGCAGAATCCAAATGCTCTAAATGTATTATATTTCTGAATAATTTGTTTTTTCCATAGAGGTCTGGTTGGTCACCAGCTCCTGCTGGATTTGCTCCCTCAATTGATTGGCAGATGCAGCAAACAGCAGACTTTGCAGATATCAGACAGGTACCACATATTACATGTATATTACATGTAATANGCTGTAAGAAAAGGGGTGCTAGTCCCAGGGGGTACTCTATTGTAAAAGCCATATAGGTATGTGCCTCCCTGTTTCGGTCTGAAAACAGTATAAAATTTGTCCATATTTTTGGTCTGGAATTGGGTGTGGTTTTCAAGGGAACTGCAAGAATTATGTATAAAAATATTTGTCATTTCAATTTCTTATGTCGAATAAGAAAGAAAGAAAGAGTAATGTGCGAATTCAACTGCAACTCTACAACAACTAAAACCGATTATTGCAAAATTTACAGCAAGCAATATCCACTGGCCACAGTTAGCAGATTAGCTAGTCAAGGCGAGCAGTGGTTTATACACTATGTTATATATATGGAAATAGCTCACAACAGAGACTAGAGAAAAAGAGTAAAAAATGTTAAATAAATTAATAATAATAAATCCAATTCAATTAAGTTTACAGTCATAGATCAAAATAGATTTTGAGAAATTGTTCGGTTGGCATCATAATCTTAAAGTAATGGTGACATAATTCCTGCCTATGTGAACATGTATGTTGCATTTCATGCGTTTTATGACGTCCTCCAGGTCTGAAAACAGCCGGTATGGATTTTAGATGCCAGGTCTGAAAATGAGTTTGAAAAATGATGTTTTTTGGTCTGAGATAGTGTCTGGATTTGGAGAATTGGGTAACACCTGTCCCCCACTAAAACGGAAAAGAGCTGAAAGTTTATGTTAACCACAGTTTGGTAACCATCATCTGGGCTTGAAATAATTTCCAATTCCTGGCTGGTGTCAGTCAATTATGCAAGTTTTCTGGTACGCCTAGTTTTGCTTGCACACAACCCATTTTCGGCTAGATGTACATGTAATCCAATCATTACATTTGTTGTACTCGATTAAGCACCTAAGATGGCATGAAGACTCACAAAACCAGAGCCTACTTTAACTGTGAGCTCTTTTTAACAATAATTACAATCATGGCAAAAATTTCAATGCATTCATTCAACTTCTTTGATGTTATATGACCCTCTTTCCCCCACTTTGGATCAGCAGAATCCAAATGCTCTAAATGTATTATATTTCTGAATAATTTGTTTTTTCCATAGAGGTCTGGTTGGTCACCAGCTCCTGCTGGATTTGCTCCCTCAATTGATTGGCAGATGCAGCAAACAGCAGACTTTGCAGATATCAGACAGGTACCACATATTACATGTATATTACATGTAATAAACTAAAAAAAGGTGATGTCTATTCAGTACTGTAACTTCAGTTTTCTGGACCGTGAAAAATTAAGAGGTTTCTTTATCAGTATTATTACATGTATTAATTATTATTTTTCTTTTAATTGCATTTTCTTATTCATCTGTTTGTTTTCTCGCATAATAATTATAAATAAATGGTTGTTATTTCAAAACACCGCCTAACTATTTGCAATTTTTACACTGTGGAACTAGGTTTCTTTTCATTTATATTATTACTAGAAGCTGGCTCATCATCGTGCAAAATGGATTAAAGTGAATTCCACTACTCTTGTCTTGGTAAGCTAAAAAAAAAGCATGTTTCCAAGTAGGCTGATGCTGAGTGTAATAAATTCTGTCTGCCATGGCCAGTGCAGTTTACCACTAGGAAGGTTCATTTTATTTAAACCACAATTAAATAATGAAAAGAGAAAATTAGAAAATTGAAGGGTTTTTCAAACTCTGTTTTATTTTATGAAAATCATTGCCTTATCATTGCTCTCAGTACTCAGAACAGAGATATATAGCCTTTTCTGAAATTGGGGCTTACATGTATGCGAATATCTTTTGCATTATATTATCTGGTTTTAAGATTTGCCCTTGCAAAAATAGCCTGCATGCAAAATGTGGGCTCTTTTTTTTTTTAAACTTTTCATTTCCAGCAAAATCGCAACATAGGCCCCCATGCACAGATCTTTTGAATTTTGGGGGAAACTTAGGCAATATTATTGTTATAGAATTACAAGTTTCTGCAGCATTAGCATCAATATAGGCTTATGCATGGCTTTTAGGTTATTTCAAATAATTGTCTATGTACCATGTAAGTTGCTGACACTGACTCAACTAACAAGGTATTGTTTCTCAAAATAGTGTGAATCATGATTACCTAAAAAGAAGCAGATATCTAATTGAATTTGTAGTACATAAAAATCAGTACTTCAGCTGGTATCTGCATGAGACCTTTTCATTTCTAATTCAATAATCTATTTGCCAGCCAAAGAAGAATGATTCATTGGGGTGGTGTCAATTTTGCCTTGGAGATAAAGTTGCGTCAAAAATCTCAGATAGCAGGTATAAAATGAATTTTACTTTAAAAAAAAAATAGACCAGCCTGTTAGACTGTGAGGATGTGTCCTGGATATTGCTGGGATAATTAAGTGGAGTAAAATCAATTTTAGAAACAAGAAAATGGAACTTATTTTTTTAATGGTAAAAATGTAGACTTCTACAGTGTACTTGCAGTGGAAATTGAAACTATGGCTGTTTGGATGGAGATCTGTTAGCTACAATAGACTTCAATTTACTTTATTGTTCATCCAAAATATTTCTGCGGTTCAGATTCCCTCTGCTAATTGGTTCAGGTATTGAACGGAAGAAAGAAAAAGGGAGGTACAAGTTTGGGTACAAGTAGGCACCAACTTTGTTCGTGGATCCTCTCCTACTCAACCCCCGCAGGTCCCCCTGGAGCAAGAGAGAGATCGTGGAAACGAGGTTGGCGGGGCACGTGAAAACATGAGTTAACTCTTGAGGAACCTTATTTCTCCCCCATCCCTTCCCTTTCAATAGCTACAGATGCACTGTGGGGATCCCAGCGGTACCAATAGTAGACCTCCTTTGGCTTTCAAGCTTTGCGATCCTGGGTCAAAGTGCAATTTAATTTTATGCTAGAGATGGGAATTTTCTGGGTTGATTAATTTTGCAGTATTCTCGTGGAATTGAGTTTTACGTCCATCATGTGTTGGTGTGCTGTGAATCAGTGAGCTGGTTGATTTTGGCAATAAGGTTTTCTTGAGCGTACCGTATTCAGCGACCCGGGAATCTGAGCTGGCAGGCTTTAAAGGAGCAGTGTCACAAAGTTTATTAGAATTCAAACAGAAGAAACTGCCAACAAATTGAGTGAAACAGAAAAATAACCTCTCAAAATGTTAAAAGAAGGAATGAATAACGCAGCATATACAAAAGGAGGCACGGATGGATAGACTTGATTGAAAAGGATTGCAATTGTGGTTTTCGAAAAGTTTTTTTCTTGCCCAACAATTTTTCAAAGTTAATTTATGTTGTGAAGCTCTGAAAGGTTTCAGCCCAGGAGTTATTTCATATTAAGGAGGTTGAACATGGTCGTCCGGGTGAACATAGCCCTGAATAGAACTGTTGTTGACCGTGTCTGACGTTTCGACAACCTGTGCGCGGTAGTCATCTTCAGAGTCAAAGTGAGTTGTATCACGTCAATTGATGGTATTGAATTTGGCTATTAACAGCGTACAAGACGAGACTGACTACCTAAACAACGTTTTTTGACACAACAACTCACTCTGACTCTGAAGATGACTACCGCACAGCTTGTCGAAACGTCAGTCACTGCCAACAACAACAGTCCTATTCAGTACTACGCTCAACTGGTTGATCATGCTCAACGTACTTATTAATTTATCTTGTTTGACATGAAGCTGTGCTTTTGTCATTCATTATTTCCATAAAAATTATAGCAAACAAGGATGCACAACAAGCATTATTAACAGAATGAACTCCGTGACGACCTTGCAGACACAGCCCATTTAACTGAACACCTGATGTCAGAGCTGGCTTCATTGACAAACTCAAGTCACTTTTGTGTAATTTTATACTTGTATGTGCATATAAAAGTAGAAAAGCTTAATTCTTATAGCATTTTGATGCAAAACATTATAATGATGTTTATCAAAACAGACAAAAGAATGGCAAAAGTACTCAGAAAGAAACAAGTTCATGTGAAAATGTTTCCCTACCAAGCTCAAGTCAGGTAACTAACTAATCATACTAAATATAAATGAGATGTGGGCAGTTTTAACGGAACTGGTTTCACAGTTGCTTATTGTTAACTATTTTACTCGAAAGTCATCAGGCTCAAGTCTTTTACTCATTTTTTTTTAAAAACTGATATTCAGTATTTTGTGCGCCCACCCAAATGAATCTTTTTCAGCAGGAATATCACAAAGCCACGTTGTAACTATCTCTGAATTTTTTTCTGATATTTTAGTCTAACAATGAATTATTATTTTTCTTCTGCAGGAATTGGAAGGAACCCCACCCTTACTAAGTGTACTTCAGGGCATTAACCAGGTATTTTAGAAATAATTGCACATATGTTGAAATAAATAACTTTTTTCACAATACGCAAAAGATCATTCCTGCGCAATTACTGTGAAAATTTCTTCCCTCCCCGTTATATTGATCAGACAACTGGTCACGGTTATTCAAAACTTGGGTAGCGCTATCCACTGGAGAAATCACTGTCCAGCGGTTAAGTATTAGGAAAGCCAATTGCGCTATTCATTGGATAAAGATTTATCCTGTGGATAGCGTTATACGTCTTTTGAACTTCTGGGACCAGAAGGTAAAGTTCTAGTTGGATATTAGCATGGATCAGAATACTTAATCACACCTGTCAGTCCACTAGAGAAATTACTAATGCGACATATTTGCTGGCGAGCCTTTGCGAGCCAGCACACTTTTCGCTTCCTTTTGTAGATACCGAGGCACAGATTACGTGCAACAAAAGAAACAGTATAACCAAACATTAAAGCCGCTAGGAGAACTCTATTGTTTGGTTCCTTTGTGTCTTTGTAATGAAGGCACTTGCAGAAAGACCCCACTATTTTCTACTATAGCGGGAAAAAGCCAAAATTTGTCAGATGTAAGATCAGAAGCATGCGCAGTCGATTGGTTTTTATATTATGCGGGGTATTCACTCCTAATGAATCTCGAGAAAGACGAGAGATTTAAATATGTGTTTGGCTGATATGTTTGTGATTCGCGAATAATGAAAGTGCGAAGATATCGATAAAGTCCTCCTTTATGGACATAGTTTTTTCTCTTTGCATTCAGCAGAATAAAGTGCTAGGCCAAAATACTTCTATTTCGGAGTTAACTACCGACTCTAGGGTGGGAAGGTGTTAGGGTGGGAATGGAGGAAGAAGGTAAATGCTGCACCCCCCCCCCCCCCCCCCCCCCCCCCCCCCCCCCGGCATCGGCCCCTGTAAACCCTACAGTAGTTTTCATTTTCTGCGTAGTGGAGTAGTGTCACTTGCAAACCTAAAAGCAATTGTTTGATTTACAGTCGGAAACCACGGGCATGTAAAAAGCCTTTGGAAAGCCCCGGGTTGGGCCGATGCCCGAGCCCCGGATCGTGCACGCGCTCTACCACCGTACCGACAAGAAGCGCGAATGCTCTTTAGTTTTCTTAAATTACTTTAAACAAAAAATATTCATTTCTGTATTCTTGGATTTACTTCACTTTGCAGGCAACTTTGTTGCAAGTTTTGGAATATCATGTAGCTTGGTTGGAAGAAATTGGCTTTTCTCATCACCAGGTAAAATGAATCAAAATTGGATCTCCCATCCCATGTTTCGTGCCCATTACCTCTATAGAAGCGAACCCACTATTGCTTAGATTTCGAGTTGTACTCACTGTAAGAAATCCAAAACTCGCAAAGGGCTTCAAAATTGCTACAGAAGCGAACAGACAGTAAAAGACGCAAAGATGAGTCGTTATCTTTTATCAAGCGAAATTTAGAATGTATTTTTTTTTTATTCTCATAGATTTTTTTGTAAAATCCAAATTCCAACAAGCTTGAGCTGTCTGTGGTTTATTGTAGCCAGAGCTATCTAAAGGACGGCCGATAGAGATCTGGGGACGGAACATTAACTAACGAAATGGAGTTTAAAATCTGGCTTAGGACACTTTGTTTTAGTCTAGTTGTTGTTCCCGCAGGGGCGCTGGTTTTACGCTCTTCTTGTTTGCTTGGAAAAACCTCTTCTCCCAGAAACCACATCTTTACTGCGCACACTCGCCAGGCTCTGTGCAACATTGAGAGCATCACTGGTAAGTCCGTGCCTTTTGATCTTACTGGTAATCCTGTGCGTTCGAGTCTAACTCTTAACCTCGATTATAGCCGGTGTAGTGGGCCCTTGAGAATTATGGGACGAATATAGGAGAGGAAGGCGCGAGTGAATTGACCCTGTGAATTGAAAGTGTCTTATCACTGTGTAGGAAACGGGTAAGGTAATTTGTAACACATACTTGAGGTAATCCTGTTTGATGATCTGATTAAAGAAGCATATACAGCCAGAACTTTTTTTAAAATTTAGTTTATGAATTTCTTGACTACTTTGTAACATTAGAGCCTCATTTCAATCAACAGTGTAATATTGAGCGAGTGAATCAAAGGCTCCGAAACTGCGACTAATAGAAAGTGTGGCGCCTTAAAAAAAAAAAATCGAAATTATGGAATTTTTCGGGGTATTATGAAAGAACAACATCTAAAAGGCCTGCTTGCCAAAAATTAGCATTCCAGGGCAAATTGTCTTTGAGATATAAACCCAGTTACACTCTGATGACTCCATACAAATCCTTCTAAATTTGACTCAGTTCATAACATTAGGATCCGACGTGACCGTCCGTCCACCCCCTACTTTTAAGCCCATGTCAAATGTCGCATTTCAAGCACCCACGCGTTTTGGCGGTAAATCGCATTGCCACTCGGACTTCCAGAGAGAAAAAAAATTAACAGCAAAGCCGAATCTTTAGTCTACATTTTCGTGGATAACAGAGAAAGAGCTAGAACGGGAGATACAAAACAAAGGAGACGAATTTCACTGGAACAACAACATGAAAATTATATAGCGGCGGGGACAAGATGAGAAATGCTAGCGACCAGCGAGGTGAAAATGAGCGGCAATGGAAAAAAAAGCAAAAAGGAGCACAAGAAACAAAATATTTTGTGAGCACATGCGACATTGTCTTTATTAAAGGGTGTAACTCAGAGGAAGTTTCATGCTGTAGTCGTGCAAAACAACGGCAAAGAAATTAAAAAACTGTTCTGGACGTGCGAAGTTTTTTTGCCGTTCTCGTCGCTCTGAAGTGCGGATATATTTCTGCGGTTCAGATTCCCTCTGCTAATTGGTTCAGGTATTGAACGGAAGAAAGAAAAAGGGAGGTACAAGTTTGGGTACAAGTAGGCACCAACTTTGTTCGTGGATCCTCTCCTACTCAACCCCCGCAGGTCCCCCTGGAGCAAGAGAGAGATCGTGGAAACGAGGTTGGCGGGGCACGTGAAAACATGAGTTAACTCTTGAGGAACCTTATTTCTCCCCCATCCCTTCCCTTTCAATAGCTACAGATGCACTGTGGGGATCCCAGCGGTACCAATAGTAGACCTCCTTTGGCTTTCAAGCTTTGCGATCCTGGGTCAAAGTGCAATTTAATTTTATGCTAGAGATGGGAATTTTCTGGGTTGATTAATTTTGCAGTATTCTCGTGGAATTGAGTTTTACGTCCATCATGTGTTGGTGTGCTGTGAATCAGTGAGCTGGTTGATTTTGGCAATAAGGTTTTCTTGAGCGTACCGTATTCAGCGACCCGGGAATCTGAGCTGGCAGGCTTTAAAGGAGCAGTGTCACAAAGTTTATTAGAATTCAAACAGAAGAAACTGCCAACAAATTGAGTGAAACAGAAAAATAACCTCTCAAAATGTTAAAAGAAGGAATGAATAACGCAGCATATACAAAAGGAGGCACGGATGGATAGACTTGATTGAAAAGGATTGCAATTGTGGTTTTCGAAAAGTTTTTTTCTTGCCCAACAATTTTTCAAAGTTAATTTATGTTGTGAAGCTCTGAAAGGTTTCAGCCCAGGAGTTATTTCATATTAAGGAGGTTGAACATGGTCGTCCGGGTGAACATAGCCCTGAATAGAACTGTTGTTGACCGTGTCTGACGTTTCGACAACCTGTGCGCGGTAGTCATCTTCAGAGTCAAAGTGAGTTGTATCACGTCAATTGATGGTATTGAATTTGGCTATTAACAGCGTACAAGACGAGACTGACTACCTAAACAACGTTTTTTGACACAACAACTCACTCTGACTCTGAAGATGACTACCGCACAGCTTGTCGAAACGTCAGTCACTGCCAACAACAACAGTCCTATTCAGTACTACGCTCAACTGGTTGATCATGCTCAACGTACTTATTAATTTATCTTGTTTGACATGAAGCTGTGCTTTTGTCATTCATTATTTCCATAAAAATTATAGCAAACAAGGATGCACAACAAGCATTATTAACAGAATGAACTCCGTGACGACCTTGCAGACACAGCCCATTTAACTGAACACCTGATGTCAGAGCTGGCTTCATTGACAAACTCAAGTCACTTTTGTGTAATTTTATACTTGTATGTGCATATAAAAGTAGAAAAGCTTAATTCTTATAGCATTTTGATGCAAAACATTATAATGATGTTTATCAAAACAGACAAAAGAATGGCAAAAGTACTCAGAAAGAAACAAGTTCATGTGAAAATGTTTCCCTACCAAGCTCAAGTCAGGTAACTAACTAATCATACTAAATATAAATGAGATGTGGGCAGTTTTAACGGAACTGGTTTCACAGTTGCTTATTGTTAACTATTTTACTCGAAAGTCATCAGGCTCAAGTCTTTTACTCATTTTTTTTTAAAAACTGATATTCAGTATTTTGTGCGCCCACCCAAATGAATCTTTTTCAGCAGGAATATCACAAAGCCACGTTGTAACTATCTCTGAATTTTTTTCTGATATTTTAGTCTAACAATGAATTATTATTTTTCTTCTGCAGGAATTGGAAGGAACCCCACCCTTACTAAGTGTACTTCAGGGCATTAACCAGGTATTTTAGAAATAATTGCACATATGTTGAAATAAATAACTTTTTTCACAATACGCAAAAGATCATTCCTGCGCAATTACTGTGAAAATTTCTTCCCTCCCCGTTATATTGATCAGACAACTGGTCACGGTTATTCAAAACTTGGGTAGCGCTATCCACTGGAGAAATCACTGTCCAGCGGTTAAGTATTAGGAAAGCCAATTGCGCTATTCATTGGATAAAGATTTATCCTGTGGATAGCGTTATACGTCTTTTGAACTTCTGGGACCAGAAGGTAAAGTTCTAGTTGGATATTAGCATGGATCAGAATACTTAATCACACCTGTCAGTCCACTAGAGAAATTACTAATGCGACATATTTGCTGGCGAGCCTTTGCGAGCCAGCACACTTTTCGCTTCCTTTTGTAGATACCGAGGCACAGATTACGTGCAACAAAAGAAACAGTATAACCAAACATTAAAGCCGCTAGGAGAACTCTATTGTTTGGTTCCTTTGTGTCTTTGTAATGAAGGCACTTGCAGAAAGACCCCACTATTTTCTACTATAGCGGGAAAAAGCCAAAATTTGTCAGATGTAAGATCAGAAGCATGCGCAGTCGATTGGTTTTTATATTATGCGGGGTATTCACTCCTAATGAATCTCGAGAAAGACGAGAGATTTAAATATGTGTTTGGCTGATATGTTTGTGATTCGCGAATAATGAAAGTGCGAAGATATCGATAAAGTCCTCCTTTATGGACATAGTTTTTTCTCTTTGCATTCAGCAGAATAAAGTGCTAGGCCAAAATACTTCTATTTCGGAGTTAACTACCGACTCTAGGGTGGGAAGGTGTTAGGGTGGGAATGGAGGAAGAAGGTAAATGCTGCACCCCCCCCCCCCCCCCCCCC